GTAACAGAGTGTTAGAGGTTACATATTCAACCGTTTTGACCCGAGTTGTAAATTTTTGACTCGGTTGAACCGTTTTGGCACGGGTGACACGGTTTACTATAACCCGGTTCTAAACTCTATTCGTGTGCTGTCGAATAACTTCTTAAAGAAGCGATAGCATTCTCTTTTGATTTTCTATATATGCAAGATTTATTTTGTAAAATAAAACCTTCATTAGAAAAATATATAAATAGATTAATAAGATTAATAAGTCAGAAACTATAACTCACCGTAACCGTGAAGTTCTCGCTGGAATGTCTAATAAACAAACCATTAGCTAAAATTGTTAAAATTTCGTTATATAAACAAATAAATAACAACCTTCAAGATGATCAACAAATTCAAAAATATCCTTTAGTTGTTCAAGCTCTTCATCGTCCAAGGCATCAGGTGCATCATCGAAATAATTGAGTAGAGCACTCTCGAATTTATTTAATGCATTTCTAGCTACTGAATCTGCCAAAGGACGCTTCTATAAAATAAATCCAAATAAGACTTCATGAAAATACTTTGCTATTGTGAATAAAATTATATAGCAAGCTTACTGATTTCAAATTTCCAACAAGAAAAGTAAGTTTTTTGAATCTCACGACACCAGCAGACTCATCAATCTGGAACTTATTAAGAGTCTGACAGAGCAATTTCCTTATATCCTCTACCCAAATAAAAGTCTTCGATAAATTATTTTATATGAATTGCATCGGTTTTTTAGTGCTTAACACTTACTATCAGTTTCGGAGAACAGTTCCCTTACAACAGAAATTGCGAGTTCTGCATGTGACCCGTAATCAATTGTCTCTTCACTTCGCTCTAATTTACTTTAAAAAACAGTTCGTTTAGTAAATAAAAAAAATATGCGTCATTTATAAAGCGGATGACTCACACAACTTTGAACGGATTAGTCCAGTCCACTAATTGTTGCACAACCTGCAAAGGCGGCACCGCATTATCATTCTTGTCAAGATATCTGTATTCTTTCAATAACTCGATAAGGGTTGGAAGGAATATCTAGCAATCAAAGTAAGGTGATTATATATTTCAATAGACCGATAAATTGATTTAATGCATATGATAGGATATTTTTGAAATACCTCTTGCATTAACGTTTGATTTTCAAACGAAGAATGACAAAATGCTGGAAAAAAATAGCTTAAACATTGCCTCAAACGAAGATTTGGCGTAGTTTTACTATCAAAGTATAACAGTACAAGTTCTTTTAGGACCTGTATAAATGAATTGGTAAATTTATCTGTTGAGATTCACAACATAACGATAAACTCACTTACATTTTTGTCACGCAACATTTTAGAAAGCATTAATTTAGATATTCCTACAACTGATATAGCCTGTACTTCCTCATTTTCATTCTTTAAGCATTCTTGTAATGATACCAGGACTTCATTACCCTGAAAAAATGAAAGATATTTTAATAAAAATTGGTCGATATTAGGCATTTATTTTATCTAATTTACCTGTCGAGTGCTTGAAACTATTGTTGAATAACCATATGCCATGAGAATGTCTGACATTACCTGTAGATTTTTCAGTAAGTGACTTTAAAATTTGATTTCAAAAACGATAGTTTGTTGTTATACATTACCATCAAGGATTTAACTTGTAACTCTGGATGTCCATGTCGTAGACAATGCATGAATAAACTATAATTCTCTACCGCCAGAGGCTTAATAAAAGACGTATTAATTAACAATACTTTTTATGAAATTAATACATTAATATAACTATACTTACCTGATCAAGTATACAACATAAACCTAGACAATGTATGCCTAATTCTCGCAGCACTGGTTCATGACTTTGTATGTTAGGTATAATAATTTCGTTCATAAGACCATACATCGATGGGTTATCCCGTAGGCTCTAAACAAAATTTGATTATTAATTGCATTTATCACCATTAGAACACAAAAACAGTATAGAATTGTGACAAACCTCTGAATTCTTTTCAAGCATACAACGTATTATATGCAGGCATTTCAAATTCACCAATATTATTTTCATTTCATTATCTTCTTGAAGGGTGTCATTATTATTCATACACGTAGAAGAAATGGAGCTCCTTCTTTCGGTGTTTTTGAGATCAGTAGATAAAACCGACATCTTCATGGAAGATATATTGATACTGAGACGAGACATGTTCGCTGATAGGTCATAATCATCCTAAACGCATAGAGGATCAATATTAATAAAATCAGTAATACAAAGTAATTATCAAAGTCCTTACCTGATATGTAAGTCGTGAAGGACCCTCGTCGTCTTCTATGCCTTCGCGTATATCAGTGATTATCTCAATCATGGAACTAAATTTTATAATGATTGTCAGTGTTTTAATGGCACAGAAAACATTACGATACATACCGTGTGAAATCTCTCTCATTAATGGAAATTTTTTTTTCTATCTCCACAATGCTTTCAATATGGCTCTCTAAAATATTTGATGACATAAGCATCTCACCTAAATGACAAAGCATAAAATTAATATTGATTGACTATTACGAAATATACCAAAAAAAAAGGCTTACGTAGGAGTGAACACATTTTTCTCCGTCCAACTTCATCCCCATAGTCTAATAATTTGGCCAACAAAAATAATTGACCAACAATAAACGCAAAGTTTACTTGCTCCTCGTCTGACGCTTGATTCATGAAATTATAGTATCTCTGAATAAAAAAAGCAAGTCGTGTCACTTCTGGCAGTATCTCATCAAGCTTTCCTTCGTCCTATTTTTCAATAAACCAAAGTGATGAGTAAAAAATAAAATAAAATAAATAAAATAATAATATTATATCACACAGACCTCCTTGTTATATTCACAGAAGACGCGTACGAGAAAACTTCCTTCGGCTGTTAGATTTTCCCAAAATACATCTAAATGTTATTTTTTTTTTTAAAGAAAAAGAGAAGTAAACTAATCAATATCAACATTTGCCCTGATAAAACATAACTTTGGTTAAAATTACCATCGAAATTTAACATTTGCACTATATCTGGGCGCGCATTGAACATTGATATAAGGACCTCTTGAGCAATACTACTTCCCACAACATCTAACCGTTCAAGCAACTAATAAGGAAAAGACATTAACTATTTATACTATTACTGAATTAACCAATGATGTTGTAGTACCTCCAACAAGTTGTTGTTCGCATGTTCAATCCAACTCGTTGAGAGCATTCTCACGCACGCTTTTTTAACTTGAGGATCTCTGTATAGTGTATTATTGATAATAAAATACATTTTTATGGAATATTCTTATTTCATATAAATCGATTAAGACCAGAATAGAATATTAACCTATCTGTAAGACCCCAGCTTAATAATTTTTCACGATCCTCAATAGATAAAACACGAAAGTCGTTAATTTCTTCTGTTAATTTCATATAAACACCTCGACGGTTCATTGGATCAATATCCCGTGCACGTTGCAATATATGTGCTAGAGTTTCCTCATTATATTCAATATTATATATAACGGCACGTCGAACTTCGCTAGAATTTCAAATAACACACATTTTAATAACCAGGCATTGTTAATTTTCAATGTAATATTAAATGAAAAAAATATATTTATAATTACGCGCTTGGGTCATTACGCAACATTCCGATGAATTTTTCAATCACATCTTTTCCATGATCATCATCACCCTTATTTTTGCAACATTCTTAGCATAGAATCTTCATATAGATAATTATAAAGCATTAAAGTGAACATACTTGTAGTTTAGAGCACGCAAGGACTGCTTTTACGCGTACACCAGCTTCTTTATCGAGTAAACGTTTAGTCAGCTCAACTTTCAAGCGTTCATATAAATCATCGCTTACATTGCAATCGAATTTCAAAAGAAATGTCAAAATATTATGTAGAATAACATACTAATTTGGCACATTTACTTACTCGATTGATCCTAAACAACCAATAAGGTATGCTATTAAATGACAAACGCGTAATCTTATATTTTTGTCTTTGGCTTCAATGCCTTTAAGCAAATGCTGGATAAGGGATTCAGCAAAGCGTGAAGACAATGTATCTTCATAATCATCATAATCTTCTTCAGCACTATTATCATTTTGATTGTTTAGAAGCTCCTTGTCTAATGTAAAGATTAGTAAATTAATTGCAATGGTAAGATACATTT